TTGGGGGTAGGTATTTTACCCTTTAATTGACTATTATTTTCTATTTCTGAAGGCTCGCAAGAGGCTTTAACTTCATTTGCTCGTCGTTTATTAATGATGGAACGCGAACCTTCAGTGATATCCTGAACTGACAGGATGGTGTTATGTTGATGTGTATATAATTCATTTAGTATGTCCCTGGACAATTTTCGTTGAAGGACTATGTTGGGATTGAGTACTACAGATGTTGGAGGTAGCATGTTTGGAGCAGATGCTCTTTTGTTTATGATCTTGTTAATAATATTTCATGTACCTGATAATTGTTTTGTTGTGGTTACTGGCGGAAAATAAAACCATGTGGACGAAGATTGTTTGTCTGACCAAAACCATAACAGACTACTTTGGTCATCCACTCACTAGTGGTTATGTCAACCTTAAGACTGAATGTCCTTAGTAGTGACTCAAACTCCATGCTGATGGATTGTAATGAGTCAGCAGTCTGAACAGGTTGAGGCAAGTCCAGCAATTGTAGTACTAGATGTATGACAGTTTTCTCATTGCCAGCTTTATCCCTAGGAAGCTGGACTGGGAAATTAGTGTTGTCGCTATTTTCATTTAAATTTTCTACTTCTGGTTCAGCTTCACCTCTAGTTTGGAGGCATGTTAACTTAGTAGCCTCAGGTATTGGGTTTTCAGAATCCACAGAGACTGTGGATAAATTGTCTGAGAACTGTTTAATTTCTGGTGGTATTATATTGGGTGATGCTGTAGTGGGTTTTTTTTTTGTTGCCGCCGAAGGCGGCTAGTTTATTGTGCACCCCATACTCATCCTGTGAGCGGTAGCGCAAAAGCATTACAGAGGGCACAAAAGGTCTTTATCAGACCTCATCTTAGATTATTACATAAACAATTTCTTCAATCCTTCACACCTTATAGATACAATGTCAGCTAGTTACAGAGAAAGTGCTATTACAAGAGCTACATATTTACAGTAAGTCATCATACATTAATGGTAGGTCTTGTCGTTAATACATAATAGTTTGGCCAATGGGGATATTACAGAGTCATAGGGGAGCTTCTGTTTATTATTAGTCCTCACAATACACTACTTGTTTCTGAATCTCATATGTCGTTCATCTACTGGAAGCAAAATGTGGGTACAGTGCAAGGATTTCAGGTAATTTATCCATGGTAATAAGATAGGTTGCCATATCATACAGAGTGAGCTTAGATCCATCTTTAAAAGGCTCAATTTTACAACAATCCAAGATATAGTGTTCGAGTGTGTGTCCCTGCCTATGTCCACACACTTAACACTTTACTTCATCTAGATCCCTATACAAGCCGAACTGCCAGAGATACTTGTAGCCAAGTCTTATACGAGCTGTGACAACATCTGTTAGTCTACTGACTTTGTTACTTGCCCCATACACATGTTTTACTTCACACATTTCATTGTGATGAACAATGGACCTACTAGTTCCAGTTTGCACTGTTCTACTTTCTTCAAATCCATCTAGGAGTTCTCGTCTAATGACACTTTTAAGGGACCTATTTGATAACTCAAGATTCCATTCAATACTGTCTTTATTTACTGCAGCCTTAGCAAGGGCGTCAACTTTGTTATGTTCCTGCATGCCAATGTGAGAAGGAATCCACAACATTTTTATATTTACCCTCTTGCTAAGTATTCTTACATATCTACGTCTAGCTTCCAAGACAAGCACGTTATTACTTGATTGCAAACTGTTTATTGCTCGTAGTGAGGATAGGGAGTCAGAAATAATTAAGCTGTCTACTTCAGTGTTGTCAATAATTTCGAGTGCTACCAGTATCGCTACCAACTCGGCCTGCATTGTGGACGCCCAGTTACTAATTCGGATATTTCTTTGAATTGTGCTGCCATCGGGCTGATGAGCAATAACAGCACTTCCTGCCCTCCCTGTAGCTGTATTGAGTGATCCGTCAGTGTATATGGTCTGTGCAATGTTGTTTTCAGCTTGTATATTGTGAATGTGCTCTATGGTGCTTAATTTAGCAGCAAGCTGAGCATGAGGGTTGCTTGTGATTAGTTTCTTGGTGGGGTATGCAGGGGTCAGGATGTCAAAAGGTACTGTAGTGGGTGAAGCTTTATCCTTGTTGATCAATTTGTTGAATGGATCTAATTTGGCATGACATTTGTCAAAAGGAGCCAGATCATCCATAATATTATCTTCTTTATTTGATGTACTGGCTGCTTGGTTAAGCCTTGTGGGGCTTGTACTTGTGTTGCTTATAATGCTGAACAAGTACTGATGGTGTAGCCTAGGGTAAAATTCAGCTATCACTAGGCTATAATCCTACCTCTTCTAGAAATTGAAATTGAAATAAGTTTATTGAGGTAAAATACACACAAAGGGATGAGGTAGCTCAAGCTATTCTCACCCCGTTCAGTACAACGTGTTAGTACATACATAGACACACATCACAAACAATAAACATATTACCAAACATTCTGAGAGATAAACATATACATTTCCTCCTTCACAAGTAGTATGGTATCAGACGTACACACAAATACTTTTATGGCCTAGTTATACTGTATAGACAATTTGCAAGAGACATGCAGATAATTCAACAAAATATTACAGTCTTGGTGAAAAATTCTTATATCTCTCAAGAATATCATCAACCTTTCCTTTGTGACACATCCAGGCTATTTGTTCAGGAACAGTCCTTATCTCAGTGTTTCTATATACATTAATCACCGGACAATCAAGAACATAATGGGCCAGGGTGTGAGACCTTAACATACCACATAGTTTACACTTCGTGTCATTATCATGAACATCTATCCCATATTCCCAGTAATATTTGTACCCAAGCCTGAGCCGCATGTACACAGAGTCACTCCAAGCATTTCTCCTTTTACCATAAGTGAAATGGGTGTTTTGACTCACATGTAGTGTTGCATGGTTTGACTTCTCTCATACATTATCTCTCTCCTCTCCACTCCCGCCTGTGCCTGAATATTTCTGATTTTGCTTCTTATTTGTCTCATTGTGAATTCACATTCAATGTCAACTTGGGGTTTTGATGTGGCACGTTTGGCCAAGTAATCCGCCACCTCGTTGAGCACTATTCCAACATGAGATGGAATCCACATGAATTTCACACTATGACCTTTCGTTAACACCTTAAATTAATACACATTATATATATTTAATCATACACACTAATGATTTGAGTGATAAACCAGTGTCACTGGAAGTACCTTTAGGTTAGCTCCTCAATTCTCACCCTAGGATGGTATAAACACTAATTAATCACTCAAAAGGTGCAATGATTATAAGTAAATTATTATATATACACAACTCAACTCGAGCTGGTAACAATTACACCCAAAACAGTCTGTACCATTAATTAATGGTGCTAGGTTTTTCAATAGAGTACAACTAGACTATGGTAATAAATGGAACGAGGATGAACAATAAATGGTTCAACTACTCAATGGTAATAGGGGACTAGGTTATCAATAAACATTAGTCAATGTATATCCTACCCTGTTGTCATTGAAATTATTTGGTCTAAAATAATGTCAAATTTCAGTAAATTTCGGTCTTCAAATGGTCTCTGAATAATTTTCGGTCTTTTACAGGTGAAATAGCTGTAAATGGGTATAAAACTAAAATTTACTGATGTATATTTTCCTTAACGAAACTTCTATGAGCATATTCTCTGAAAATGGTCTTTGTCCAAATTTTGGTCATAAAACTGAACTCTGAAAAATTTTGAATTTTCCCCATAAGAACACTTAACAAACGTTAATGAACACTTTATCAGAAAATGGTCTTTGAAAAAATTTCGGTCTTTAACTCTCAAAAATTTACCTGGAACCCCCTGACAGTCCACACACGATTTTTCAAATTAACTGCAAAAGCCAAGCGCTAAACGGGATATTTCAAATTTATTATTTTAAATTACGGGATATTTATTACGGGATACTTCATTATTACGGGATATTTCAATCTATTAATCCAACAAACTTTGTAAAATCTCTTGTATGTATATACCTTACCTAAATAAACATTTATTTATTTATTTATTTCAAATTACAAGGAAACCCCACAGCTTAAACAGGATATTTCAGTTTACCTGTAACCCCCAGCGCCTCACACGATATTTAAAAAAAAAAGTGTTTAAGGTGCCATCCCTACTAGTATTGTGTAGCAGCTGGTGACGCCCTTGGGAGTATTGTGTAGCAGCTGGTGACGCCCTTGAGAGTATTGTGTAGCAGCTGGTGACGCCCTTGAGAGTATTGTGTAGCAGCTGGTGATGCCCTTGAGAGTATTGTGTAGCAGCTGGTGATGCCCTTGAGAGTATTGTGTAGCAGCTGGTGATGCCCTTGAGAGTATTCTGTGTAGCAGCTGGTGACGCCCTTGAGAGTATTGTGTAGCAGCTGGTGACGCCCTTGAGAGTATTGTGTAGCAGCTGGTGACGCCCTTGAGAGTATTGTGCAGCAGCTGGTGACGCCCTTGAGAGTATTGTGTAGCAGCTGGTGATGCCCTTGAGAGTATTGTGTAGCAGCTGGTGACGCCCTTGAGAGTATTGTGTAGCAGCTGGTGACGCCCTTGAGAGTATTGTGTAGCAGCTGGTGACGCCCTTGAGAGTATTGTGTAGCAACTGGTGATGCCCTTGAGAGTATTGTGTAGCAGCTGGTGACGCCCTTGAGAGTATTCTGTGTAGCAGCTGGTGACGCCCTAGAGAGTATTGTGTAGCAGCTGGTGATGCCCTTGAGAGTATTGTGTAGCAGCTGGTGACGCCCTTGAGAGTATTGTGTAGCAGCTGGTGATGCCCTTGAGAGTATTGTGTAGCAGCTGGTGACGCCCTTGAGAGTATTGTGTAGCAGCTGGTGACGCCCTTGAGAGTATGCCGTTTTTTTTCATATTTCTTGCATATTGAATTTTAAGTTTCATTTATTATTTCTGTTCATGAATACATTAAATTTAAAAATATTTATTGGTATTTATCCTTTTCCACAGGTCCTTCAGGGTTGAACCAGCACGGCTACTCTAGAACAGTCAGTACGCATGCGTGGGGCTCTTCTCACCCCACACAGGTGAGTCACCCCCCCCCCTCTCGACGTGCGGGGTCAGTCACCCCCCCCCCTCTCGACGTGCGGGGTCAGTCACCCCATCTCTCGACCCGCGGGGTCAGTCACCCCCCCCTCTCGACGTGCGGGGTCAGTCACCCCCCCTCTCGACGTGCGGGGTCAGTCACCCCCCCCCTCTCGACGTGCGGGGTCAGTCACCCCCCCCCTCTCGACGTGCGGGGTCAGTCACCCTCCCCCCCTCTCGACGTGCGGGGTCAGTCACCCCCCCCCCTCTCGACGTGCGGGGTCAGTCACCGCCCCCTCTCGACGTGCGGGGTCAGTCACCCCCCCCTCTCGACGTGCGGGGTCAGTCACCCCCCCCTCTCGACGTGCGGGGTCAGTCACCCCCCCCCTCTCGACGTGCGGGGTCAGTCACTCCTCCCTCTCGACGTGCGGGGTCAGTCACCCCCCCCCTCTCGACGTGCGGGGTCAGTCACCCCCCCCCGCTCGACGTGCGGGGTCAGTCACCCCCCCCCTCTCGACGTGCGGGGTCAGTCACCCCCCACCCTCTCGACGTGCGGGGTCAGTCACCCCCCCTCTCTCGACGCGTGGGGTCAGTCACCCCCCCCCTCTCGACGCGCGGGGTCAGTCACCCCCCCTCTCGACGCGCGGGGTCAGTCACCCCCCCCCTCTCGTCGTGCGGGGTCAGTCACCTTCCCCCCTCTCGACGCGCGGGGTCAGTCACCCCCCCTCTCGACGCGCGGGGTCAGTCATCCCCCCCTCTCGACGTGCGGGGTCAGTCACCCCCCCCTCTCGACGTGCGGGGTCAGTCACCCCCCCCCTCTCGACGTGAGGGGTCAGTCACCCCCCCCCCTCTCGACGTGAGGGGTCAGTCACCCCCCCCTCTCGACGTGCGGGGTCAGTCACCCCCCCTCTCGACGTGAGGGGTCAGTCACCCCCCCCTCTCGACGTGCGGGGTCAGTCACCCCCCCCCCTCTCGACGTGCGGGGTCAGTCACCCCCCCCCCTCTCGACGTGAGGGGTCAGTCACCCCCCCCCTCTCGACGTGAGGGGTCAGTCACCCCCCCCTCTCGACGTGCGGGGTCAGTCACCCCCCCCCTCTCGACGCGCGGGGTCAGTCACCCCCCCCCTCTCGACGCGCGGGGTCAGTCACCCCCACCCTCTCGACGTGCGGGGTCAGTCACCCCCCCCCTCTCGACGTGCGGGGTCAGTCACCCCCCCCCCCTCTCGACGTGCGGGGTCAGTCACCCCCCCCTCTCGACGTGCGGGGTCAGTCATTTTCCCCCCCTCTCGACGCGCGAGGTCAGTCACCACCCCCATCTCGACGTGCGGGGTCAGTCACCCCCCCCCCTCTCGATGCGCGGGGTCAGTCACCCCCCCCCCTCTCGACGTGCGGGGTCAGTCACCCCCCCCTCTCGACGTGAGGGGTCAGTCACCCCCCCCTCTCGACGTGAGGGGTCAGTCACCCCCCCCCTCTCGACGTGAGGGGTCAGTCACCCCCCCCCTCTCGACGTGAGGGGTCAGTCACCCCCCCCCCCCTCTCGACGTGCGGGGTCAGTCACCCCCCCTCTCGACGTGAGGGGTCAGTCACCCCCCCCCTCTCGACGTGCGGGGTCAGTCACCGCCCCCTCTCGACGTGCGGGGTCAGTCACCCCCCCCCCTCTCGACGTGCGGGGTCAGTCACCCCCCTCCCCTCTCGACGTGCGGGGTCAGTCACCCCCCACCCTCTCGACGTGTGGGGTCAGTCACCCCCCCCTCTCGACGTGCGGGGTCAGTCACCCCCCCCCTCTCGACGTGCGGGGTCAGTCACCCCCCCTCTCGACCCGCGGGGTCAGTCACCCCCCCCCTCTCGACGTGCGGGGTCAGTCACCCCCCCCCCTCTCGACGTGCGGGGTCAGTCACCCCCCCTCTCGATGCGCGGGGTCAGTCACCCCCCCCCCTCTCGACGTGCGGGGTCAGTCACCCCCCCCCCCTCTCGACGTGAGGGGTCAGTCACCCCCCCCCCTCTCGACGTGAGGGGTCAGTCACCTTCCCCCCCTCTCGACCCGCGGGGTCAGTCACCCCCCCCCCTCTCGACGCGCGGGGTCGGTCGCCCCCCCCTCTCGACGTGCGGGGTCAGTCACCCCCCCCCTCTCGACGCGCGGGGTCAGTCACCCCCCCCCCCTCTCGACGTGCGGGGTCAGTCACCCCCTCCCTCTCGACGTGCGGGGTCAGTCACCCCCCCCCCCTCTCGACGTGCGGGGTCAGTCACCCCCCCCTCTCGACCCGCGGGGTCAGTCACCCCCCCCCCTCTCGACCCGCGGGGTCAGTCACCCCCCCCCCTCTCGACGTGCGGGGTCAGTCACCCCCCCCTCTCGACGTGCGGGGTCAGTCACCCCCCCCCTCTCGACGCGCGGGGTCAGTCACCCCCCCCTCTTGATGCGCGGGGTCAGTCACCCCCCCTCTCGACGTGCGGGATCAGTCACCCCCCCCCTCTCGACGTGCGGGGTCAGTCACCCCCCCTCTCGACGTGCGGGGTCAGTCACCCCCCCCCTCTCGACGTGCGGGGTCAGTCACCCCCCCCTCTCGACGTGCGGGGTCAGTCACCCCCCCCTCTCGACGTGCGGGGTCAGTCACCCCCCCCCCTCTCGACGTGCGGGGTCAGTCACCCCCCCCTCTCGACGTGCGGGGTCAGTCACCCCCCCCTCTCGACGCACGGGGTCAGTCACCCCCCCCCTTGACGTGCGGGGTCAGTCACCCCCTACCTCTCGACGTGCGGGGTCAGTCACCCCCCCCCTCTCGACGCGCGGGGTCAGTCACCCCCCCCCTCTTGAGCCATGGGGTCAGTCACCCCCGCCCCGCTCTCGACGTGCGGGGTCAGTCACCTTCCCCCCCTCTCGACGCGCGGGGTCAGTCACCTTCCCCCCCTCTCGACGCGCGGGGTCAGTCACCCCCCCCCCCTCTCGACGCGCGGGGTCAGTCACCCCCCCCTCTCGACACGCGGGGTCAGTCACCCCTCCCCCTCTCGACGTGCGGGGTCAGTCACCCCCTCCCCTCCTCTCGACGTGCAGGGTCAGTCACCCCCCCCCCCTCTCGACGTGCGGGGTCAGTCACCCCCCCCCTCTCGACGCGCGGGGTCAGTCACCCCCCCCCCCCTCTCGACGCGCGGGGTCAGTCACCCCCCCCCCTCTCAACGCGCGAGTTCAGTCACCCCCCCCCTCTCGACGTGCGGGGTCAGTCACCCCCCCCCTCTCGACGTGCGGGGTCAGTCACCCCCCCCCCTCGACGTGCTGGGTCAATCACCCCCCCTCTCGACGTGCGGGGTCAGTCACCCCCCCCCCCCCCTCTCGACGTGCGGGGTCAGTCACCCCCCCCCTCTCGACGCGCGGGGTCAGTCACCCCCCCCCCTCTCGACGTGCGGGGTCAGTCACCCCCTCCCTCTCGACGTGCGGGGTCAGTCACCCCCCCCCCCCTCTCGACGTGCGGGGTCAGTCACCCCCCCCCCTCTCGACCCGCGGGGTCAGTCACCCCCCCCCCTCTCGACCCGCGGGGTCAGTCACCCCCCCCCCTCTCGACGTGCGGGGTCAGTCACCCCCCCCTCTCGACGTGCGGGGTCAGTCACCCCCCCCCTCTCGACGCGCGGGGTCAGTCACCCCCCCCCTCTTGATGCGCGGGGTCAGTCACCCCCCCTCTCGACGTGCGGGATCAGTCACCCCCCCCTCTCGACGTGCGGGGTCAGTCACCCACCCTCTCGACGTGCGGGGTCAGTCACCCCCCCCCCCTCGACGTGCGGGGTCAGTCACCCCCCCCCTCTCGACGTGCGGGGTCAGTCACCCCCCCCCTCTCGACGTGCGGGGTCAGTCACCCCCCCCCTCTCGACGTGCGGGGTCAGTCACCCCCCCCTCTCGACGTGCGGGGTCAGTCACCCCCCCCCCTCTCGACGTGCGGGGTCAGTCACCCCCCCTCTCGACGTGCGGGGTCAGTCACCCCCCCCCCTCTCGACGCACGGCGTCAGTCACCCCCCCCCCTTGACGTGCGGGGTCAGTCACCCCCTACCTCTCGACGTGCGGGGTCAGTCACCCCCCCCCCTCTCGACGCGCGGGGTCAGTCACCCCCCCCCTCTCGACGCGCGGGGTCAGTCACCCCCCCCTCTTGAGCCATGGGGTCAGTCACCCCCGCCCCGCTCTCGACGTGCGGGGTCAGTCACCTTCCCCCCCTCTCGACGCGCGGGGTCAGTCACCTTCCCCCCCTCTCGACGCGCGGGGTCAGTCACCCCCCCCCCCTCTCGACGCGCGGGGTCAGTCACCCCCCCCTCTCGACACGCGGGGTCAGTCACCCCTCCCCCTCTCGACGTGCGGGGTCAGTCACCCCCTCCCCTCCTCTCGACGTGCAGGGTCAGTCACCCCCCCCCCTCTCGACGTGCGGGGTCAGTCACCCCCCCCCTCTCGACGCGCGGGGTCAGTCACCCCCCCCCCCTCTCGACGCGCGGGGTCAGTCACCCCCCCCCCTCTCAACGCGCGAGTTCAGTCACCCCCCCCCCTCTCGACGTGCGGGGTCAGTCACCCCCCCCCCTCTCGACGTGCGGGGTCAGTCACCCCCCCCCCCTCGACGTGCTGGGTCAATCACCCCCCCTCTCGACGTGCGGGGTCAGTCACCCCCCCCCCTCTCGACGTGCGGGGTCAGTCACCCCCCCCCCTCTCGACGTGCGGGGTCAGTCACCCCCCCCCTCTCTCGACGCGTGGGGTCAGTCACCCCCCCCTCTCGACGCGCGGGGTCAGTCACCCCCCCCCCCTCTCGACGTGCGGGGTCAGTCACCTTCCCCCCTATCGACGCGCGGGGTCAGTCACCCCCCCCCTCTTGAGCCACGGGGTCAGTCACCCCCCCCCACTCTCGACGTGCGGGGTCAGTCACCTTCCCCCCCTCTCGACGTGCGGGGTCAGTCACCCCCCCCCCTTTCGACGTGCGGGGTCAGTCACCCCCCCTCCTCTCGACGTGCAGGGTCAGTCAACCCCCCCCCGTCTCGACGTG